GTGAAAGATGATTGTTTATATAATGTTATACGTCGAAATTCTCCATTGATCTTTCCGACTAAATGGAATTTACATGTAGTGTAAAACCAAAATTTCGTCTTGAGATGTTGCTTCGTCGTTCAATTATTTGATATTCGAAAACTTTCGACCGAACAATGTAAGAGTCCAGTTTACCTGCATTTTGCTCGGTTGTTTTAAAAAAACAATGGACCATAAGAGAACAGAGACTACTACTACCATATAACTTTTTCTAGAGCGGATTAAATTCATGCAGACATCCGGAATGTTAAAACGCGTATTTTCTGGAGGATTTCAGATGTCATATTGGCGGAACGCACAGTGCAGTTACGCAATTTTATGCATTGTAACATACACAGCGATGGCTATCGTTCCCTTAATGAGAGTTTCCCCTAACTTTATATTTCAAAGTTTATACAAGGTTCACACGAAAACTGTTTTAAAATTTCCTAACATGGTTGGCTCGTGAAGAGTCTGAAAAAGTTACCGACAGCAGAGTTACGCGGAAGTCTCATTAAAATGACGATATGTTCCAAGATTATACTCGTAGCAAGTATAAAAAAAACCTGGACGTGTAATTAAATTTTCAATACGCTAGACATCAATTCTCGAAATTCCCCATTTTTCTCTTTTGCGGTAATTAATTCTTATTTTCTACAACGTGTGTACCATTTAATGTTTGATTTTAAATTACCGCCGCCGGAACGAGCTTAAGATTCAACAAGAATCATGCGACTCTTGAGATTTAATTAAAAGCACTACGATTTTTCGCGCTTTTACCAAATGCACCGAAGGTATTCTCGGAACGCTCCGTCATTTTAGCTCTTTGTGAATTTATTTCGACATAGGAAAGGCAGAACAGGGGAGAAAGGATTCGCGCGAGCCGGAGTCGACGGGAATTTCCGCCGGTATAAAAAACGAGTCACTATTATCCGTAGAGACGTACGTAAGCCTTTGGAATATTCCGGCAAAGCGCGGGAATCGCCGTAATCTCGAGCGTGTGCGCGACAAACGAGCTCCTCCATTATGGTTTATCGTTTCGCAGGTCGAAGTGGATCAGCGGTACCGAGCGGTTTTCCCAATTGCTCGTCTTTCCTAGGGCCGAATCAATACCACGGCGGAAGTGGGATCGTGCGCGAACGGCAACGTGTATTTTTCCACTTTTGCTCAGCAAATGTTGACTCGCATTTGTTTTTACGTTTCTTCCCGCATCGCCTTGGCGCGGCCGAGCAAAGTTTTAATATTGCTTAACAGCGAAAAGAAGTTACACGCGCCGCGTCTCGGTCGTCCGTGATTTGCGGCACGTGTCTCTCATTCCGCCGACGCGACTCTCAATATTAATTTGTTTTCGAAGGAGGTTTGCGCTCGAAAGAATCAATTCGTTCGGAAGGAATTGATTCGATTCGCCGATATCGATGGATATCGCGATACTCAGCGTTTTTCAGCTACGTCTTGGTCAGCGCGTTATTTTTCCGTGGAAATCCCGCGTTCTTCTTATCGTACTTATTTCTCGGGCAAAATCGGACTAAAACGCGCAACGTAATCCGTTCCGTGAGATTACGGCGTATATAAGGGAGGGGGAATTTCTGGAACAAGAATGTTGCAGCCGACGCTTTCTTTAAGCTTTTAAGAACCTCCGATTCCCAATTAAATCCGTCTTTTCAGATTGTGTTTTCAATTTTAGCGCGCGCGCGCGCACAGCGCAGCTCTCGATCGGGCGGATGAAATCACATCGCTCCATTATGGTTTATCGTTTCAGTGTACCGTCGGAATTGCAGGAGTTTCGGTACGGTATTGGTCGCGTGCCATATCGGCCAGTGGCACTCGCCATTGTTGTACCAACCTATAGAGACCGGATTTTACCATTTCCCCGAATCACCACGCAAATATGATCCACTTGTATTTTTCCCGGCGCAGCTCTACGCGTCTCGCGTCATCGCGTGTCCCCTCCGAAACATTTGCGCGCGCCTGTATACGAAATTTCGAGCGATTTTTTGCGAGCACTTTCCCGAACACGACTTCCGCCAGAACTTCGACATGCATTAATGCGTTTAAGGGAGCGATCACGTCGCCAGTCATGGCGCCGCCTTCGTTACGATTTACGGCCCAACGACCGAAATACAAATCGGCGAGACTGACTCTCTTCGACACGTGCGATTAATTCTCTATAAAATGACTCGCAGGACGATACTCTCCAAAGTGCAATCGGTGTATTATCGCTGAGAAAAGGCTAATAGTCAATTTAGTGATCATAGTTATAACACTGTAAATTAATGAAACAATGAACAAAATGCATTCTAAAGCTAAAAGTTGATATTTTCGTACGACATTAACAAAATTTGGAAAGAAAGATGTGTTGCCGGCGCTACAACGTCACGAAAACCCTCGAAACCGTCGTTTTCGGCCATTTTCATACCATTTTTCCAAATTGTGACGTGACGGCTAAATTTGGAACAACGGATTCGCGTTTAGCAGGCAAAAATACATAAGAATCACCATTAAGAAACCGTCTAAATCAGTGTTATCGGTAGAATAGTATTTCACTGGTTCAACTTCTATCATAAAACGCATTTACCTTCTTCACCCCAAAGAAGAAGACGCTTTCGCGAAATCGGCCTGCGCCCCAAGCCGTAATGATAATCGGGGCGCAACGGATCACGAGCGGGGGGATGCGAGTGCAATCGTGATTCGCCAACTAGTTCCGCAGTCAGCTCCGCCAAGGAATTAATAAGCACCATCGCGAAACCTCCGAGCCCTTTTTGCTCGCCATTATCCAAGATAAACGACGGGCTCTCCCGGCGCGATGAGGCCACTCGGCGCGGATCGGCGGAATAGGAGGCGAAACTTTCGAATCGCTCTTGCGTCGAATGAATTCTGCGCGAGCGCTTCTTGCACGCCGCTTGCGGGGCCACCGCGCGCGTATTTCGCCGTTTTCTCAGATCACCGGGGTAAATGTTGACCCAGTTTCGGCGTCGGATTGGACGTTACTCTGTCTTTCGAAAGTGCTGACTAGAATACGCGATGAGGGCGAAGTTAGGGACGCACTTCGGACGGCTCCTCTCTTTCTTCCGCGGTGGCGGAAGCTCTCGAGAATCTCTCCACCGGTCCGAAAACCGAGAGATATCCGCTCGCGGCGATTCGCGCGCGGGCTCGCACTTATATACTCACGGGCAACGTGCTTCATCGGCGAGAGCGCAATGGTGCGTCGATACTTGGATTTTACGAAGCGAGGAGATTTACTCGACGACACGATCGATAGATGTCGTTTCAACTTTCGAAGTGCAATTCTAAACGCGTCGGATATAACAACGATATTAAGAGAGAAAATAACACGAGTTTCATCCGCATCGAAGATCGAGAAAAGTAAGATTAACTTTTCACTTTCAAATTTTCATTTTCATTTGCATCATTGTTTTGCGTAAAAATCAAGATTAATTTAAAAAGAAACTAAAACTGAAACTACTCGAAAACTTGACACTAATTTTCATTAGAAAGCATCTTTTACGTATGCCATCTTTATATATGTGTTTGTGTATTTTACGAAGTAAAGTTTACAGTATATTCTTAAAAGGGTTAAAGTAGTCGTTCTCGTAGGGACCGGCCGAGTTGATTCACCTCGTTTCGTGAAGCTGCCTCTTATTACGCGTTGCTACACGAGCCCCTACGAAGTTTCCGTAAGCCCGCTAAGACACCGNGGGGGGGGGGGGGGGGGGGGGTGGTCGCCTTCAACGCGGAGTCACCCGGCCGAATAAAGCCGTAGCTGAATGAGATATAACAGGGTACTTACCAACACTGGCGAGACGGCCGCATGTAAACCGCAAGTCGACGGTGCAGGAGATGAATAACGCCGGTGCACAGTGGATACGGCTTAATATAACTTTTTCCGTGTACTCCGTTCTTCTTCCCGCGTTCTACCTCCTCTTCTCATTTCACCTTTTCAGCATCGTGAGCAGGGCGACGGATACGCGCTGGCGTCTTCCTCGTGATTCGAGTAATTTGAACGCGCAACCATGTCAGATAATAGGATACATTGTGCTTCTCGAACCAAAGTTCTATGTGACACGTTCTCGGAGCAAGAGAGAGAAATGAGTATTATGAAGATCCTTCGTGATGCCTTTATTACTTTTATTAATGGAATTATATTTGCTTTTCGATCCGCGACACGAGAGGCGTCCCTGTTTTAATTTTTCTTTTTCATCTTTTTCTTCTTGAAATCTGTGAGGCGGAAGAAGTCTCGACGAGAAAAACTGCGCCTGAAAACAAATAGAAAGCGCGAGGTAATACGTAAGTTAGTACGAAAGGTGTCGAATTTTCAGTGGCGATATTAAGGAGCCTCTACATAAGTTTATTATTTACTAAAAAAAGATACAAATTAAAATAAATATATACACAATATTACACAAACACGGAATTATTATTTATTTTAAATATTATTATTTTTCAGTTTTCTTATTAATGTTTTATTTGTACGTTAAGCTAATAGAGATGCGCACATAATGAAAGTGGTATATAAATATTTAAATACGTGTATATGTACGTCGCGGATATTACCGTAAGTTACAAATTTCCTATAGCTATATTTTCAAAATAAAATGGTCGATAATTCTGAAATTTTTGTATAACATTTCTATATTAATCCCTAATATCCCAATATGATTTGTATTAAAATGCTAAATGTGGTTCAGAAGAAATTGAAAATAGAAGTTAAAAACAACATTAATCTTAAGGAATATGTATAAAAATCGGATGTCTTTAGTTGCGAATATCTTAGCTTCCGAATGATCAGTTATTTTCTGCGCCAATGATTAGTCCTATTTAAATCTGTATGCAGTGCAGATTTCAACGAATTCATAAAAAACATATTTTATGCCACAACTACCTTAACGCAACATAGACTCAAGCACTACCGGGTAGAGTTCCGAATAGATCGTTGCTGAAGGCAGTGAAACAAAAGCTTTTCGCGACTCAACCGCACATTCAAGATGGAGCTCAGTGAATACGCGATATGTCTCATCCACACATTTCTCGTCGTGTCTCGCGTACCGCTAACGAAAACCACCACCACGTTTTCACCACCGACCGAGATCACCATCGTCAAGTCCACCGTCACAACCGCCGGCACGACCGAGACAGACGACGAGATAAGAATGCCGGCGGTGTCCTCAACCGAGCAGGTTATGGATCACAATATACGAGTGAGCGATCTTCCCGTCGTGGACGAGCCGACGGACACGCCGGACCTCGATTGGGACAAGAATCGGCTGATTCGTGACGTCGCGTATTTTATTCGCGCTCACAAGTTCCACGACTACGATCGTCGGTATTACAAGAACGTGGAAAAGGCCACGAGCAGGCTGTACGAGGAGTTCCCCAGGCCCGGGCTGAGATCCCTGCACTGGGAAGTGCGCAAGTACTGCGACGCGAGTTTCGTCGAGTGCCTGAAGTATCTCGAAAGGATCATTAAACTGACGGCCCTCAGGCGCGAGGACGACACCGTCACGGTCATGAGGGAGCAGAAGTGGAGCCTGACGAACAATACCGAGCAGATCTTGGCCGTTCAAAGGGATTGCCAGATGGCCCAAAGGCGGGACAATCTCACTATGGTCCCCTTTCAGGGTCCAATCGGCAAGTGCATCGATTCGCCCGCCGACATTCCTAATCACGACGTCGGGACATTAAACCCGATTTACACATAGTAGCGGCTCGATCGACTCCAGCTTCTAGTCTCGGTCATAGACTGAGTAATCGGACTACGCGATAGAGTTGAATGTGCGGAAGGCCATTCACTCGTCCGGGATTGTATGCCGCCTATTAGCGCGTGTAATCCGGCTTTTAGCGTTAACAGACCATAAAGTCTGACGGAGTGTACGTTTAAATCGTTTTTACCTTAATTCGATGTGTATGCGTGTGTACCTTCACGAGAGTCTACAGTAACTTGGCTGTGGTTGAAAGATACTGTTACAAACGTAACGACTACGAAATATCGTAATGATATCTAACAGATTTTGTGTAAGCTCGTGTCTTTAAAAATTTGCGTTGAGCTGTAATCGTGTCTCGAAAACAGGTCAGAGAAATACGTTGGAAAATTATGTTCCGTCGCTTGTGAGGCGCGCCGTACCTCGATAATAACGAGTAATCTATCGGTGCAAGCAACGTACGTTTTCAGCTATTAATATTGAAAGATATAAATAGATAGATAGATAGATAGATAGACGTTTCCAGCCATTAACATTGAAAGATATAAATAGATAGATAGATAGATAGAGATAGAGAGAGGGTGAGGGAGGGAGGGGAGAGAGATAGCTTGTACCGCTTGAGTTAATAGACGAAGAATATTATACATAAGTCTGACGCAAGCCGTGCCAAACCGTCATATGCTCATAGTTTAGGTAAATATGAACAGAAATGTCCTCTATTATTTTGCAAATGACTACGGAAATGTTTGAGTTATTAATGAAAGAAGCCTCTATATAGCCATTTTCAACAATTAATAATTAAAAAAATGTCCGTGGTTATTTGGGAAAATGGCACGGAACCTTTTTTCATTTGTACTGACCTAAACTACAAGTGTATGACGGTTGGCACACGGCTTGCGTCAGACATCTTGTAGATATTACATGAGACGCGAGAGAGAAAATCGTGATCGGGCACAATTTCAGAGCGCTTCCAATGGCGCACCACCGTCAGCTACTACATGTGCTGGTACACGATGCAGGGTGTCGCGGACTTAGCCGTCTTCGGCGAGCCCTGTGACAATCACGCCAACTGCCTGGATGAATACGGCGTTCATAACAAGGATCCACGGGCGGACGACACGAAACCGTACGCCTGCGCCCTATACAGTTTCTGTCCGGACCATTGTTGCCCCATGAAGCACATCCGGTACATGAAAGACTGTTTCCAGTCGGAGCGCAATCCTTGCTACGCTGAGAATCGGCCAGGTGTGTGGACACCCATTACAGATACCTGTCGCACGCGCGACCGGCTTATTTATATTTTCTAGCGCGGTGGCCGAGTTAATTTTCACGTAACGCGCACCATCGCGGTACTCGTCGCCGTTTATTGTTACACCGATAAAAGCGCCGCCGCAATGCGCGTGCTATTTCGCGCCGACGATAACAGCGCGAGCGATGTATTCCTACCGTATATTTTTTCAGGCACCGCTTATACATCCGATGCTCGCGTAAGATGAATAATAATCAGCCATTCATACGAGAAACCGGGCGAACGCGGACTCGTATTAAACTGGACCCCTACCGTGACAAGTTAAGTGCGCGTTGATAACAAAATTTAAATTGCTCTTTAAGTATTAATTATTTTATTTTATTCTCGATTTTGTTATTCGAACGGTTTTGCAGGAAGTAGCTTTCGAAACAGAGAAGAATAGCTTTAAAATACGTCGGATGGTCGTACGCGTAAAATAATTATTTCAAGCCATTTCGTTGCTGTAAGATGGCAAAAAAGGAAATCGGGGAAACGTAACGTTTTTTAAGGAAATATCATCTCATTTACCAAGTATCATGTACAAAGTGTTGCACTGCATACATGTCATTACGACAAATTGTCACTGCAAGGCCACGTGTGAAAAAATAAAAGCACACTCGGACAGGTCACGCACGTTCTCACTCTCTCTTTCTCTCTCTCATGCGCTCGCAGTCCTACCCGTTGTAGTAAAATGTATGTTAGTGCGGCAAACTGTACTTGATATGTGATGGTTTCTTTAAGAACGTTGTATTTTCGAATTTTTGTCACGCTATCTTACAGCGACAAAATAACAACAAATTCTCACGTAATTGTTTTTTCATACTATCATCCTATATATTTCTAGCTTAATGTTCAGTTGCCTCTTCCCCCAATTTTTAAAGCTGTTTCCTGCTAAACAGTTTAAACAACGTAATCGGGAGTTAGAGCAATTAACTAGCACTTAAATAGCACAGAATTTTTTTTACCAGTGCAAACTCGACTTATGAAGATGAGGAGTCCAGTTTAATATGGGTCAAACGCGGGCTCATTTATCAACTACGATGAATTGTCGATTGGCCGCGCGACGATGATGCATCATGCCGTCGCATTTAGTTAGAATCCGCACGGATAAATCAAGATCAAGCATGCACGATTCATGTCCTGATGAGACGTACAAGGCGTCTACGCCGACGAGATATTAGTTTTGCCTAACACAAACACGACAATCCGTGGAACTCCGCAACGGCTGTGTTTTGCGTTCCGTGCGTCACGCATGCAATTACTCGCTCTTAAACTTGTTCTTTGTTTCTTGTTACTCTTTTTCATAAGTAAAGTAAGAAATTTTTACAGAAAAAAAATAGAGAGCAAGAAGCAAAACGCAAAGAGCACATTGTAGACCAAGTTTTGAAGTTTTCATCTTGTCTCATGCGACACCCTGTCTCTCTTGTTCGCAGCGCATCGAAAGTGCAGGCTGAATCGCGAGGAGAATCGCGACTTCCAGGCGCTGAGGTCGAATCGGATAAATGTGAGCTGCGAATGCCATCGACCCGGCCACGAGTGGTCCTCCAGATTCGGCATGTGTATAGACGTGAACGAGTGCGCTCGCGGCACGCACAATTGCACGTTGAACGCAGGCGAGAGTTGCTTTAATCTGCCCGGCCGTTACGCCTGCATCTGCCGGCTCGGTTACGTCTACAGTCCGGAAATGAAACGGTGCGTCTACAATCTGGACTTCGACAGAACGTTAAAGGGCGACGAGGAGGAGCCAAAGGCCGCGGAAACGAAAGGTCTATTAGATGCAGTTATCCGAACAATCACGAGATCCACTGGAAATAAGCCAGCAAATACTGGTCATATTTACATTCCACTAATTTTGATCGCGTTAATGTATGATGAGACGTAAGTTTGAATGTTTAATTTGATTTTTGTGTTAATTTGACTCCATCTCCAGTGAATACGTTGCACAGCAATTTTCACTTATGCTGATATGTTCTCCAAAGGATCTCTAATGAGCTGTGTTGTGAGATACACGGAGAAAAATATTTTGCTGGGCACAGCAAATTGTTAGTTATTATGGGGACATAGTAATAAATTGAAATCGAAATAATTGACAAAAAAACGGTTCAGAAAAAAGTTTTAGGATTTGAAGGAGTACAAATTGACATTAACTTCGGATTGTATAGTCAATAAATCAAAATCACTTCAAGATAAACTTCATTTTTTTAATGGATTTATATTATTTTCTTTAATGCAAATCAATTCCTCTGTTCATCCTGCGTATAAAAATACTCGAGTAAAATAATCGAAAAGTTAATATTTTTGGAAATATTTTACTTTTTATTCCGATATTTTGCACTGCAAGATATGAATAATCTTATAAAGCATTCACTTTTTGATAACATCACTTAAAGATTTTTGTACATAGAATAACAAGTGAAATAGATCACTATGAGCAAACATAGAAAAATGTTAAAAAGAAATTTATTGCATTTTACAAGTGCATCGATGCACCAATAATATGCAATGATAATATCAGTAATCAATTTCTCTCATATTATTATATAAAAAAGTTAAAGTGATATTATTGAAAAGTTATCACCAACTTATGTCCCTCTCAAAACTCTACAACTTTTGTCTGAATCATTTTTTATAAATTCTTGGTTTTAAAGATATTTCACTATTTCCATTAAAGTGGGATACTTTGCATAATAACAAATATGACTCAAGGTGATCTACATTGGATCAAAAATTCTAGACTAAAATATCCCCTTAATTTATATATAAGATAAAATAAGACATCTATAAGACGAATTTTGCTCGTTCAGCTTTTCGATAAACTCTCGCAAAACATTATGTCACAATTGAAAAACTAATCCCTACTAATGAATCTTTGGCAATTGTCTACACTAAGACAATTTCATTTAAACGTTAAATTTGCTGTACTTCAATGCAAGTTATTATTTTCGCATTAATTAAGAAATCCGTGATAAATTGAAGTTACGTTACAATACCGCGGTAATCCATAATGCATCTCGACGAATAATGCATCTCGACTGTCAGAAACAATCTGTATCGTCTGTAATACTGCGAACTCCGTCTTATTTAATGAAATTAGTGCGTAAATTGCGATGAACTCGTCGACACAACATTGTAGTTTCTATTACCGGATTAACATGGACGCTACGAATACGGTCGTTTAATAACAGCGCGCACGATAATCTGTATCAGCGCTATAAACTGCGATATTACCGTTTAGAAATATCCGGCCACTTAGGATGCGCCGCATCGTAGAAATTTGTACCCGTAACAATTCAAATTTTAATCTTGCCCGCGTAATAGCACGATTCCGTGTGTTTCGTATGCTATCACAAACGGTCCCTCTTAACGGTTATTTGCCCGGCTAAGAGAAAAACAACGCTCTCGTATATGCCATATGCCGTGTTTAGCGCAACGGTGAAATAAGTACAGGCACGGCTAAATACTCGAAATATCCGACAAGAGCTCTTAAAAATGTTAAGACTCACGGAGCAACAGTCACCCTTTGCTGTTAATGTGTCTGACCAATGACGCGTCGACTTTCTTTGTTTTAATTATAAATATTGTCGAAGCGTGAAGTATTTAAAAATAGCACACGTATGCTACCTTTTTTGGCCGGGAGTGTATATAAAGCAGCGAATTGCTTCGTACAGGAATGATAGATTTTTAACAGTTGTGTTTGTTACATTTATTTTGCGTTACTTTTATCCCTAGTCTGCCCTACGCGTGATGTCGATAAAAATAATAAATATTTATGCGCTTTAAAAGTTCTTGAAATCATCGAATATCCCTGTCCAAAATATGCGTGACGTATCGATTCTCTAAAATTTCGCCTGAACTGAATAATAAAAACCGACGTGTGCCGTGACACATATTGATCATGGACGTTTCGCGATTGACAATTGCGATGAGAATAAATCCCTTGATTTATCCGACAATCTCGCGGATTAATTTACGTTGGGCTAATCGAACGGTTAAGCAACGGCATCAGCCGAGAGTCGACGAGTATTCTGCGTGTCCTATCGCGTGACGCAACCCAATTTTTACGGTACGCGCGTACAGGACGACGTGAATGATGCGCATTGCGCGCGGGTTTATCATTCCCGCCATTCTAAAATCCAGTCGTACGGCGCGTGGAAAAAAATTGCGCCGATGCGGGGAAATCCGTGCGTAGAACCTGTGCGTGGAGCGAGTCCAAGTCGAACGATGAGAAAAAAAACTAGACGACCGAAAGCGAAGCCTGGCCCGAAAGAACGGCGATGTGTTGTTTTATTCATCGACGCGCAGAACCGCCGCGTCTTTTCCGCCGAAGGAACTCGCTGCGCGCGCTGTGATACATAAATGTATACGGCGCTGCGATTTTCCTTGCTTCCGACGTATAATATCATTCGTCAAGATGAGATCGCCCGGTAATCGTTGATTTCGATTTATTGGACACAGCAAGATCGATGATCACGCGCGTATCCCGAAAAGTGATTCTCTTTTTGCGCGCGTGTGTGTGCACCGTATAAATGAGAAATTGAAACGTAACGCGTAGCGGGAAAAATGAGAAGTGCACGTAGGTAAAACGAAGGCAGTTGTTAAACGAACCGCCAACGCTTGCATTTCTTCTGTTTGCGCGTTTCGCAAGATAAAATGCGCGGCGTGGGATTAGCGAAAATAAACCACCGCCGGGCTTACGTAACTTGCTACTGATCGCCAAGGATCGCGATTTCTATGTACGATCTCAATGCCTTTTTACGTAATTATAACAACAGCAGCTATAAACCGGTTTTATGCTCAAATACGTACGTTTGCACGAGTAAACCGAGCACCGTTCGTGCAACACTTCTCGTCTGCCGTATTTTTAATTTACGTTTCGAATTTATAAATAGCGCGCAACCGCAAACCAAAATAGATTTTTATTGCTACAGAACTTATTAATTTCCGCTCTGTGTATAGTCAGCGACAAAAAGGTTGCGGTACTTTGTTTTTCAATGAATTTCGCAACGTTGAATAGGAAAATGCATCTCCTGAGAATTGCTAAGGAATAAATTTTTCTATCGGACATAGGATGCGTTTCAAGTCTTATATAGAAAATTTGCAACCATTTTGTCGCTGACCATACACGACATTATAAATTCATTAGCAAATACAGGCGCATGAGTAGAGGCATTTCGCAAAAATTTGACGCGATTCTGCTTCAGTTCAGCGATAAAAGAAGGAGAAAAGTCGATGCGTGAATCAACATGAATTTACTTTGCGTCAACGCGATATCGTAAGGTATCGGAAGCGCGTTAGAATATGCGTCCTTGTGCATATCAATGATATGCATGATAGACGATGGGATTCGAGCACAGATAATATCGAGTTAACTCGCACAGCTCATCGGAAAAAGTAATTAACACGCGGGATCGTTTGCGCTTCGCAGGCACGATATCATTACAGGTATTGCTGTTACTGACCAGCCGCTACAATGCTCAGCGGCACCATCGCTGAAAAACTCGCGGGTTTTCATCCGCGTGTAAAACCACGGTTTGCTTCAAATTGGCTTGATTTTTTATTCGTAAATAGTGAGCCATCGGGCGCGATTTGTCGGCCGGGCATTGAAAACAACGGGGCGCGCGGACGGGGCGTGTATGAAACGAAACATGCGCCCGGGAAAAATGCGCATATTCATACATGGAAATACCGTGGCGGGGGGAAAAGAGGCCGGCTGCCGGTGCGGCACAGCGCGGCGGTTACAGGGAAAATCGCGCGTCGTGCGGCCGGATGCGTCAAAAACCCGAATACTTCCCGGCGCGCCACGGCTATTTGCGCCAATTGACCGTCATAACATCAATTTCAGGCCTCGAAACGCGTTAGCGCGGTGCATCATTTCGCCACACCGTATGTACGTACGTCCGCTTCATGAATATCTTCACCTGACCTACATAGACATTATCGGAAGAAGCGCGTTGAGGTTAAAATAGAATCCAAATATTATTCTTACCGCGCTTTTTATTCACTTTCTTGATTATATAATAGTTTCGTACGATGCTAGAGCTAGAAATTTTATTCGAAGCTTCGAATTTCCGGACCTTCGACACGTTATATTGGAACAGTGGAATTTTGAAATGTGAAAATCGAACATTCGGATATTCGAATATTCGATTGTTTGAATATTCGGAACTTTAAGAACTGAAATATGTTCGTTTTATAGGCATGGTAAATCGTATTCTCTGTCCTAAAAAATATAATTTTTTCCTGCCACCTCCATCCAGATTAAGGCCAGTCACTTCTTATTATTATTAAAAATTGATAACAGGACTTAAATCTTTCTGCATATATTGCTTAAATGTTGCTGCCGTAAATTGTACGTACCATAGACAATTTTCTAGCGGATACAGAAAACAGCGATACATTTTACCCGTGCCATTTAAAATTCTAATTAGACTAACAAAACATTTTTCTGATTGTAGTTTTACGCTCGATAATATAACATTCGCACAATCGCTCGCTATTCGTCGCGAATCAGAAATGACGAGCAGACGACGTCGAAACATTTCACTCTGTTTACTCGTAAACCAGAAATAAATACAACAGCACTCGATCTAGATGCAATGGCACGAAAGCAGAGAAATGCCCAACCAGAATCGAAACTATGGATTTTATGCTAATTCAGGGCCTGCGTAACCGGTATTCCTGGTAAACGGAGCTACGGTAAACGTAGCTACCATCGCTCCCATTTACATCGAGACACCACCGACGTCCCTGCACTGCCTTGCCGATTCAATCCCTTTGTCCCCGTTGATTATCCCACTTGCTACAGTGAAGACACCTCTCATCAAAGCGAATCGACAACTTGCAGTCCAATCTAATTGGCATACTTCAGCTTTATATCTCACTGCGTAGTTTTAGACGTGTCGAATGTCGACGTCTATTAATGCGGTTCACAAATGTTTTCGTTACAACTGAATTTCAAAATCGGAGAATTTTCTACAGATATTTCAAAAAGACGCGTTCGACGTAACTAAAGGACATCTCTAACCCGAATAGAAATTTCGACGCTACTTTGGCATTCTTAAAGATAGTTCACGCTTACTTAGACGGTCCTTAGACTAATATAAACCTACTTTGACGATACCGACAACTTTCAACTTCTCTTTTGAACCTTTAATTCTACAGACTGAATTTTAATGCTACCTTCAACAACCTATTTTGGCCGTAAAATAGCGAAAATGGAAATTTAAGATATCATCGGGGTCAAAATAGGGGTATAATTATATTATTAGAATTGATATTGAACCTATTTTGCTATCTTAATTCTTACTGTGTTGTAGGATCAAGGGTTTAACACTTTACGGTTGTGTTGTAGAATCAAGTGTTTAACACTTTACGGTTCGCCGATAACATAATATCAGCGCACAAATTTCGATATTGCAGTCCGCCGACGATATAGTGATGTCGCAATGATAAAACATTAATATTAACAATATACACACACCTATATGATTAAAAATAAATGTGTGGATAAAAATAAAAGTGAAATATGCTTAGCAACATGCTAGCAACGATGCAAAAAATTGTAAACATGGTAACAAAACCGCAGTCAAGCGTTAGAAAGTAACGAATATGAACGACACGGTTGAAGTAATAACGAACGAAAGTACAGAAATATTAAATAATAAAATTACATCCGAAGGAGAATTTTCATCGGACGATGTGAAATTATTATATTTTTAAAAGATATGTAAAATTTCTTATAATCGTTTATTAGCAGATTATTAAAAAATTGTAAACGTGATTTTTTATCGGACGGTCATTTGTGCAAATTAATTGATCAATATGTCGACGTTTGACTTTTTCCAGCTAGGAAAGAAGTGATTTTTTTTAACAGTCTAAAATAGATAAAAACGAATACAAAAGTGGAAATTTGTTATGTTCATTAAGAGAAAAATATGATCTTTACGATAACAAAAGCCAAATAGCTGTAATGTAAAAAATCCTTTTGTACCAAAGTTGGTTTACGCCCAAAGAAATGCAGCCAAATATGAATTACAGGCTCAGTTTGCTCGAGTTAGATAGCGCGACAGCTCCAAACGGAGCACGGACCGCGAAGTGTTGACATAGAGTCAAAATCGAGTCGAGGAATTTTTGAGCGAACAAAACGTCCTTTCTCACTGTTTATCGAATGTTCTACTTCAGAGCTTCACTTTTATTCATCACCGACCAACATACGATACGCATCGCAGCGACTACGCTGTAATAACACAGAGCCGAGCGATCTCTGAGCGATGATGCAATCGCCGCGTCCAAGATTGTTCGAGATTGTTACCACCAGATTGGGAAACAGGCCTTTCTCCTTCCACTCGCGTTATTCGGCGACGGGGACAATGTACGGAGTCCAATATGTACCTGGTGGAATATCAGCGAGCGTCGTCGCGCGCTCGACGCAGTACCGGCGGCCGGCTTTCCTTTCGAATCGCGTCAGTCATCGAGAATGTCTCTGTGCGAGTGGTACGCGAATCGCACGGTGCTCCTCACGGGAGTCACGAGCGAGTTAGGACGCGCTGTCCTCGAGAAGATTCTACGGTCCCTGCCGGACGTCAGGGTGTACATCATCCTCAGGCTCCGGAACGGCCTGACCAAGGAGGAGCGGCTGAAGAAGATATTCGCGTCGCCCGGGTACGAAATATCCTCACACCCGTTCGCGCGCGTCCTTCGTAACCTGTAAATCGCACTTCTCTCGCTCGATATCGCCTTTGTGAGCGTTAAATTGTGACCGCGATTCCGGTCGGAGGCGTGCGCCGAATTTATCCCCCGAGGACGTCGAACCGAAAAAGGCGCCGCACTCTACGCCCTGTACGACGGTTCTCTACGTGGAAATTCTGGAAACGTGGCGCACCTTATGTCGGGAATCGATTACGGAATTAGATTTTAATCTCGCGAATGTGCTCGCGCGCGTTTCACCGCTGGGACGAGAATTTCCCGGCGTAAAAAGAGGCCGGACCTTGCTTCATTAATCGCGTTTATTTCAATGTGACAATCTACCGTGACCGGTACCGGAGTAACGAGGGAAATTTCAATTGTGATTTGTTGCCAGACTAGAAGTCACCCGTGTACACAGACGTCCAGTCCGAGCGTGAATTTAATTTCTGCGTCAATATCGCGTGATATCGCATGGCCGCTGTTCGTATTACCCGAGAAACGTCACTCCGCCGTTCAACGTTTGAAATACAAGTTAATCGCGGGGATACGAATGAAATAACCGGTTTCGCGGCCCGCCGAATTGATTCCCGCATAATACGCTGCATTTTGCTTTGAAATTCACCACTTCGTAATGACGCTCGGTAAACTTATCGCGCGCGCACGTGTGTGCGATACCATTGGCTCGAGATAGCGGAATTCGATACGTCTGCGACCGCGCGCGATCGCTTGAAAGCCGAAATCGCGCTGCAATAACGACGCAATCAAGATCGAGCAGAGCAAGATACGATCGGACGCACGCGTTTAGACGGACGCGTAAACCCGATTGCCTCGTTACGTGCTCGTCCATCGTAACGATCGCGGGGATGCATCGCGAGATGCACGCGAGGCGAAATTCAGCGCCGTTCCATCGCGCGCAACGCCTCGTTCTCCCTGGAGGAACGCGGAGGGGGGAGCGCAGGGAGAGATTTATTTTCATTAGCACACGCCTCGTGCCCCCTTTAGAAAGATTATGAAGTATACGCGGCGCGGAACCCACATCCTCACCTTTCCTTTCTCTCTTTCTCGGCCGCGCGCGAAATCCGCGACCGTGCGGCAAATTCGTCAGCGCGTTTTGAATTTCACGAAATTAAAACCCGCGAAAGGATTGTCCCTCTCCCCCTGGGAAATCGTGGTTACCGGGATCGCCGCGTTTTTCCACGTGAAAAAGAGGATCGCCAAGCGCGTAAATGAGAAAATGCAAATTGACGAGCTCGAGCGTTCAAGGTGTGCACAGGCCACTTCTACGCTATTAAGCCGAAAAAAAACTGCTTTCAGCTAGTGATTTGCGACATTTTCCTCACCTTTCTTGATCATAATTCAAACGGCGTATGTATATTAACCTCACCTTTCTTGATCTTAATTCAAACTGCGTATGTATATTTAAACAGGTTTCAACATCGGTGAGACAATTACACGACTCGCATCGCGTTTACGTCTTTATCTCTTCGAAACATAGCAAGAACGCTTATTTCAATGTTTTTAGATATTATCTATAATCATTTTTACAATGAATGTATAAAAAGAAGATATAAGAAAAGTCTAATTAATACTTGAATATGTTTCAACAGATCAAATTTTTCTTTTTCTCTCTCTCTCATGCCACTATTCTGCATAGTTATTACTAATTACTGCATTAATGTGCACGATAATACATACATGTAATATATTATCGTGAATCTACCGTGTTATTAATAAATTATTTTCTTGAAATGTTTCCCGTGTTCCTTCCGTTAAATATATAAACTAAAATATAAACTCCGCTCCGGCGGTAAACCGAGATGCATCGCAGTTCAAGGCGTACGAATTACGAGGCGACTGCTTTACATTTTTAATGGGCGCACTTGCGTGCGCTTCTTTTGTGCGGCACATCTCCATTTTGATGACGTTCCCGGCAGTAAATTCCAAAGCCGATTTACGTCAGCGGCGTTATTATCGTCGGCAGGTACGAGCGACTGAGACAGGAGGTGCCGGGCGCGATCTCGCGCGTGCAAGCGTTCGAGGGCAATCTGCTTTACGAAGGGCTCGGTCTAAGCGCCGAGGACAAAGCCTCGTTGAGGGAGGTCACGGTGGCCTTTCACGCTGGCGGGCCGCACGACGTCGTTCTGGAATATTGTCAGGAATTACCGAAGCTTAGGTGCGTCGCGGTGGCGTCCAGCATCTTCAAGCATCGCGGCGAGATAACCGAGGGCTTGCAGAACGAGGCCATCCCCAAGATACCAGTCGCCCTTGTGCGCTTCCCTTTCATCGGACCTGCTCACAAGCAACCCATGCCCGGTTTCGTCGAAATCCTCAAAGGACCCACCGCGCTCATGGTCGGCGCGGGCTACGCGTTCGGCAATCCGGAGTTGCAGGCCGAAGTTGTTCCGATAGACGCGGCGGTGAACACGATGATCGCAGCTGCGTGGGAAGTAGGCACGTACGTATTAATGTGAATCGCTGTTCTCTTGTCCTTGTAATTAGTGCCGTCGAATATAAACCGGGTTATCTCTACTCCTGGGTACTCGGGTACCCATCCATCACCTAACTTCGCGAGTATTACTCGGCCGCTCGAATTATTCCCGAATATCCGGGTACCCGGGTTGCTCGAGTATTATCAGGGAATTAAATCTATCTTGCCTTACGTAAGTATTGTCAAGACACATAAATATTACATTCACCGTTGTTTAATTAGGGAACGAAAGTCAACCGATGCTAATATAATATGTATGTAATATGTGTGAGACGTTATGTAACTGTTACGGAACAAGTCATAATTAACGTCTGATTACAAAACGTGAAACAGAGCTAAATAGTTTTATGTTTTCGAGTATATATCGCGCAACTCATATTTTATTGAATTCTCATATTACTTTGCAAAAAAAAATTCTTAGTATTCTCATCTCAAATAGGTTTTACTGCCAAGAGATGACAGCTCGTTATTTCTTCCTAAGAAAAATGACATGCGTAAATGGCAAAAATTAATTATTGAATGTAATAACATCATTATATAAGAGACGCGGTAACATTTAGCGCCAAGCATACACAGTAAAAGATTTTATCTCAAATTTAACATATTTCACATGTCCCCATATGGTCCACACAAATTTTTGTGTTAATTTAATACAAGAAAAACATGTTGAAAAGTAAGACAAATATCATATCAAAAATTAACACAAAATTAATATTCGTAATATGTTAATCGGCACTGAAGTATAAAATGTGTTATTTTAATACCTATATATTTTAAATATCGGCGCAACACAAAATATTGAGATAACATAAACACAATATGTTAAATAATAAATAATTGGGCTTTCGTGATATACAATCAAATAAATGATGAAAAATGCCAATAAAATCCAATGCCTGGTAATAGTGGTTAACTTTTAATTTAAAAGTGCATTCTGTTGAATTCGAATAGATTGAATGCATTTTTAAATTAAAAATTAACTGCACTACTGTCAGACATCAGTTTTTACTGACTTTTTTAACCGTTTATTTAACACATTGCGTACGGGTGACGAGAAATCTCGTTTTTAGTAAGCCGAACGTTGTGGCCGGGCGACGAGATATCTCGTTTTCAGGTTTCTTCATCTTAATCGATGACTTAAGGAATTAAAAATAAATTTTCTTGTTACGTTACCAGGGTAACGAAGTCTCGCGCATTCTCGAAACAAATGGTTAGCGAATAAATGTGTATATAATTGTCGTGTTGAGCGAATAGAGTGCCGTACGCAATGTGTTAATTGCAATATATTAAAGTAAAACACACGGATATGCTAAAAATTTAACACAAAAATTTTAACAAAGGCCGATTTTAAGACAAATACAAAATGTTTCTTATTCTGTATGGTATTATTATTATAATTAATGCCTTCAGTCTGCTTTTTCTTTTACACAAACATTACGAAATAAAGGGAACCAACCGAGCGTAAAAAGAATAGCGAAATATCCTGTTCATAATTTTGATAATATATCAATTCACGAATTCTCCAGAAAATGGACGATTTTATTTAAAAACATATATATATAAAACCATGAAAAAATATTAATACCTTTTTCGCTATTCACTATACTTTTTAACATATCGTGATCGAAATTCGTTGCAGACGCGGCTTATCTAGTTTTCCAATGCGAAATATTGGATACGAGCAAACACGTTTTACATGTGCGCGCTGTTTCCGCGGTTGTTACTGTTTGCTCGCTTCCGACGCTTCCGCCCCAATTGTCTAAAACGAAATTCGTTCCTTTCAGTTTTTATTCGAGATTCACCCCGCAATCCTCTACGCGAGAGCAGTGTTGCTTCCGTCTCTTCGCGATATCATAAGTCTCTTCGGTTAAAAATGCGAATAAATATCTTCAATTCTAATACAGTTGCTCGATGTCACGTCGTCTTATCGTCAGTCAGTAAAGGGCAATTCAACAATTATGTCACGCTAAATTGAGGTATTTTTAATCTCCCTCTCTCCTCTTCGTCACAATTTCGTCACAAAATATTTATTTCCTTCCAATATTACGTGACATATGGAATTATTCTCTCATCCCTTTTAACATAGAATTAAAAAAAATCGATTATAATCATGTTGTAAGTAATAATTATTATAGATTGCACGCTACTATCTTTTCCCAAAATACTAAACATTTTTATATAATACTATATAATATAAAATTAATTACTTTATTTCATAATTTTTATTAGTACAAAAGTTGTGCTTTTGAAAGAATAAGTATTAAAAAATTAATATATTGATTATTAACACCATGTCGGAACTTAAAATTTTTCATCAAATATAACCACATATATAATGAATGCAAACGAAATGAATAACCATGCGCATTCATATTTACAAGTTATGTCATCTAATGTGACGTTCGATGGCCTTTACTCCCTCCCTGCTTGCCATCACAACCGTCACACAAATTGGTAGACTCTTCTTCCTCCTCATGATGTGACGTAATTGTTGAATGGCCTCTAACGTAAGTTAACACTTGGTATTTCGACAGAGGAAAAATGCCCTATTCCTTCATGAAGTACATTTGTTTTACGAAACAATTAATATCAATGTGCCGCGCGTCACGTTGAAATCGCTCTGTACGCTCTTTAAGCGACGGTTCTATTTATTTAAATTAATGACCGCGCCGAGATCGAACCAGATGGTGAGTTTGAGGCAGTACGCGATCAACGCGAGAGAGCTCCGCGTTTCTCGTTGATTTCTCGGGAGGAGTGCGAGTAAGCACCCTTTCGGCCTCGGCGTGAATTATATTTCCGGTTCTTGGAGAAAGTACAGAACGTGCACGGCCGTGCGGTTTGCGCCCGACGAAGAAAACGATTATTGGAGATTGTGCGCGCGAGCCGGTAATTGAAATCGATAGTTAAATTGCACTCGGCGCTTCGATGGGATAGTTAGATTATATTAGATCGGTTTACCAAAACGAAGTAACCCCCGGTCGGAGGTACGGGCGGTGCATCGATTTCCGCGTGTAGGATGCATCGGCGAGGAAAGTGGCTCATGCGGAGCGTGAAATGAAAATCGAAAATAATATCGCGGCGGCGGCGACGCCGGTGGCGAAGGGGGTAGTGCACGCACGCTCGCGAGAAAACTACCCCGCGGTAGGATCGAACGGTCTTGGGTAGAACGAGACACTACGACGGCGATCACTTCGTCGTCGCGTTTCGTCGACGCGACCGCCTTCAACGACCGGCTTCTGAATGAGATTTTAATTGGCGTCGGCGCGACGAAAACCAAAGGAGCCTTCGAGAAATCGCGAGCTTTACTTAAGTCAGCCCCAACAACGAACCGATCGAACGAAACTTACAGCCAGGGTGGCGGTTCCCCCGGGCTCTTTTCCTAAAAGTCTTACGCTCACTACTAGTTTCAACCTCTAGGAGCACCTCTTCGCTTCGCTCTGAAGTATTTCCGAACGACTGAACTGCGAATAAGTTGATTGCATTTCGCCTTGCAAGAAACGGAGCGCCGCTATATCTGCCTCTCCATGCTTCGGCCCTGTGCTTCGGCTTTACCGGTTATACCCGTCGCATTTCGGAGGAGTTACTAGTTGAAAATACGATTAATTATCGGTAATCGTTAGAGTAGCAGCTTGGCAGGGAAGCGGCGGTGATGCAAAATTCACACGCGCGAATTCAAGCGTCGATGTAAGTGCGCGCAGATACATATTGTAGCTCGCGTAAATTACCGTGGAACTCCAAATAAAGCGAGAAACGCGTTACATTCGATCGTGGTTAATTGTCGCGCGGCGCAACGGCGCAAAATTCTGCCGAATATGCAACATTCGCCTCTCTCCCTCCACCCCGCTCTCTCATCGCATTCTCTCGTTTCTCGCGCAGGTCTGATGCTGCGGAGCCGGTGGTTTACAACGCGGCGACGATCGGCTGCACGTGGCAGGATCTGGTTAAAAAGAGCCGACGAGCCAGCTGGTTATACCCGTATCCGACCTTCGGAATACGCGGGATGACGAACGTCGCCCCGCTGCACTGGCTTTTGGTGCTGCTTCTCGAATGGCTGCCATCCGTACTCTGCGACACCGTCCTCGGTCTGTGCGGCAGGAAGCAGAGGTACAGCGCGAAATTTATCGCGGAATTCCCCGAGTCACGAATTTATCGTCACAGTTCCGTCAACGTCTCCGCGCCGCGGCCGTTTCGCAGTCCCGCGGAAAATTTAACGCGGTCATTTCGATCACCGTCACTAACTTCACCATAATAAAAAATGAAGGAGAGGCTGTGTTCTTCTTTACCGCTGTTTTCTTTGCGCGCAATCTTATGATTCGTTATTGTCTCCCGCAGATAGGACACGTAAATCGCTTGTGAAAAATTATGCCTACTTAAACATGATATCCTTTATATTAGATTCTCGATTGCGGAGAGGAGGTTATAGGCAAGATACTCGCGTCGGGGTATCGTCTAAGTTCAAAGTTATGACATGCAGTGCTTCTGCAACAGCTGGTAATATTAAATATGCATGCGATATGAAGTTGTGTATACGAAAACGCGATATTATGGTATTATAATATCCCTAGATATTACTAAATTCAATTGCACACCTTCCAAGAACGTAAACGCTGCATTATCTGCTATTGCTATTTTACGATTCAATCTATTAGTTACATTTCACGTCACTTTGAAATGTGTCGCTTTAAATAGAAATCTCGTGCGTTACATTTGCATCAATTTGACGGGATGTCGATCGTTCCCATTTATTTCCGCGTTGATATCGCACAATGTTATTTAAAGCAGAGCTCGCGCGGGTCACCTCCATTTTCTATGCGTTTCATCTCTTACTTCACGACGACGCTAAATCCGAGAGATCGCGGAATAATCGCAGCCGATATTAAACGCCGATGCAGTTCGGAGATAATCCTCCGTCTGCATTCGCGGGCATTAAGAAATGATTAAAGCCGCTCATACATGAAGCCTCCAACTTCGCCGATAACTACCGGCGCGAGGGAAGTTTCGGGGAGGAGACTCGCGTGAAAGTTGGATCGCGATCATGAACGTTCTCGGTACTTGCTCTTTTCGACTTCGCGGGGCGCTGTGAAAGGCCCGTTAACGCGTACTCGGATATCGCGCCGCGTGTCGTAAAAGTAAAAGTTATCTGGAACTAGAGAATTTAGGCGAGCGCGCGATATAAACAGGTACGCAAACAAGTTCGCCGACTGACTCTTGCTCGGTCGCCCGTGAATGTTGCGGAAAGGAAAGCTGCATTGAACGGAAAAATTCAATTCTGCGATCGCGGAAGTTGCATCCGCTCGATGCCCCATTACTTTTGAAGAATGAGGTCGCGACGAGGAAACTTTCGGGAAATCTTGACGGCCTGTCCCATTGGAATTCATTTTTACGCGCACCTTCAGAGTGTTCGTGCGTATCGGCTTACTTATGGCACAAGGCCAGCACTTGCGATTATTTTTGGCAGTTGTCCGGTGGAACGATAACCATAGATTAAGTCCTTAATATGTTCCGTGCCGGACTGCTTTTACGTGACTTTCAATTCACGCCGCGTGTGCCGAAAACTGTACACGTGAAGATGGTAAATGTGTTGCAATTATTTGATTTTTTGTAAATAAGTCAGTTATTTATTATGAAAGTTGAACGTTTAAGGTATAAAATGCATAGCAGGAAAAAAAAATTGATTTAAAAACTTGACGCACATTTACTTTGTCAACATATTAATTTTTAACATATTCATCTTCTTAAAGTAATATAAAATTTCTTCAATGGACCGTTTTTAACACAAAATTTTTTACTATATAGAGTACTTTTTTTCATCAATATTAGAACCTCGAGGGAAAAATTTTACTCAATTATACGTGTCAATTCTAATGCGTGATAAAAAGCAAAAGAACGAGAAAAAGAAGAAGAAGCAGAATGAAAACGCGGTCGCTAAAAATCGATTCGCTCCGGGATTGATTTGCGGACGAAAATATTTTTGCATTCGTCCTGCCAAATACTTCTCTGATTTCTCTATTTGCTCGGACGCGTGCAGAGTAAATCTTGCGCGCTAACTTAACTCGGATTTTTCTTTCTTCTCCTTGGGAGGAAACTCTCCCGTCAAGTTTGCCGCGATTCGTCCGTAATAAGTTGGATTGGAAATTATATAGTTTGCGACGGGCACGTAGAAAGTTTTTTTATTATCCCGCTCGCGCGCTTAATGGTACTTTGCGATCCTTCTCCAACTGCGATTGAGTTGGCCACTTGAAAATCAATTTTGAATACGTCTCATCCGTCCTTATTGCGCCCACGTCTATATTCGAGGAAAATACGTATCGATGCCGTCCTGTATTGGAGACAAAAGAAAAAGAGATCTCGTAGCACGGACGAAAGAAAAAAAGAAACGACGCGTTGAGTCTGGCACCATCGAGAGTTCGCGCGCCGAGTATGTTGGGCGAGACGAGCATTAATGGCGAGAAGCGACGGGGGGAAAAAGGAAAAAGACCGGTCGCGCTAAAGGCAAAAACCTTCACTGCTCCCCAGGATCGTCGCTGAGTACGACAGAGTTCGTAATGCACTTCGATCCCTGAAGTCAATTTCATGGAGGCCATGGGCAGCGGAGAGGAAACGCGTGTACCTGCTCCAGAATCGCCTGACGGGGAAAGAGCGAGAGGCGTTTCCGGTCATCGAGGAAATCGACATCGAGGCTTATATCCTCTGCGTTGCGGCCGCCGCACGGAAGTACTGCGTGAGCGAGGACAATCTCCGAGTTATGAAGACCATACGTATGCTCCTGTTACTTGCGCCCGCGATACTCGTAGTCGCATATATTCTAATCTTTAATTATCACACGTACATAGCCAGATAAGAATATTCCACACATGGAATTTTCGAGTTCGCTTTTCTCAAAAGTCCGCAGCGGCAGAAATACCCGACGATCCCTGATATAATCGGAATAAATATCACTACACGGTAAAAAAATTTCATGCAAATAACGGCCCACTGAAACTTTCGTGTTACTTTAACGAGATGAATATGTTAAAAAAAGGTAATATGTTAACAAGATGAATATGTTAATTTAATATATATTTGTGCACCTTTTAACATATTCCCATGTTAAAGTAACACAACAACTTCACCGCTATTAACACAAAATCGTGTAAAGTTCGTGAACGCATATTTCGACTTAATTATCTGTACACATTTTCTTCTTTTTTTCTCGTTATGTATAGCTTTAATGATATCTTTCCTAGACATTTCCGTGTCAGTCGTAATCGCGGCCAATCAATTAACAGCATGTCAACAGTACTAATAACGCAACGTCTACTTTGTACGAATCACTCAGACTCAGAGTCCTTTCCGGCAAGAACCGAAGATGGTATCTCGGCCGTTCGTGAGATCGATTCCGGTGGCATGCTCGGCCGTACGGAATCGTGTGTAGCGCTTTGCAAATATTCGTGAGAGCTGTGCCGAGGCGTCTACATGAGAAAATGCTTGGGTGAAAGTTTCCAGGCGAACATCTACTCGCCTTCAAGCGTTCGCGCGCGCGGTATCAACGAAGGCATATTTCCGACACGTTCTCCTATGCAATACCGCCGCGCTGACTTGCACTCATTCTACCTATCGAAGGGATACAACGAAGGGAAAACGGGGAATATTATTTGCAGATTTTGTATGTTCTCTAGAGGGCAGGGAGGAATATTCGCGCGAAATTTTCGCGAAAGCTTTCCAATGCGTGTAGCAGCGCGCATATATAAGAATCACACCCCTTCGGGGTGAATGCGAAAATACGACGGTACGATAACGTTTCGATACTTGTTTCTAAAGCAGCGATAAACACGCGTATAAAAGATACTTTTTAATGTTTATACGCATTTGTAGATATTTTTAATTAATGTGTAATAGTTTTAATTATAGTTATATCGGTGAAAAATGTATATATTTTGTAATGAATTATTGTTAGACAAATGTGAAATATGTAAGAATAACATTTTGTGTTTCATACAATAAAAGATTATGCTTCAAAACACCTTTTTTTTTTTTTTACCAATTCCGTACGTTTTATTTGTAAATTGTACATTGAACTACGCGAAATTTATATCAATACGTGAAAGACTCACATAATTCAACTCGTGTTATTATTTTTAAATTTGTGCAAGTTACTGTGTCTAAATTCTTTTGTCATTTACGTAACCGTAACAAAATCAGGGCAATGACGTACATCTCATCTCACCGCGGAATATTCTTATCAGTATATAACGCACGTCGTCCCATTTTTTCCACTCTCCGTTGTCAGCAAAAATTTCGTTCGCGTGACTAGCCCGTAGGAGCCTGAGCCAAGTTATGCTTTCAAAATCCTATTACGAGTTGCGAGCGCGAAATTTAGCAAAGAAAGTTGCGGATTAGTTTCGCGGGATATAATTGGACGTGGTGGGTGGAACTGTGCCTTCATAATAATAATTGGGAACGTCTATTCCGCGGAACGAAGTTCCTCGTTGTCAGTGAGAGAGCGAAGGTTCGGAAAGTTAAAAAAAAGAGGTTAAAGGCGGGCGGTTGTCGGATGAAGGGAACGGAGTAACGGGAAAAATGGTAAAATCGAAAAAGAGAGGGAGATCGTAAAGTGAAAAAGACGTGGTAGGTGTATATATTCAATTTAACTCTAACAGGTATGAATAAGACGTGTATATATATTTACCCAGATGTATATATATATATATATAGATGTATATATATATATATATATATCTGGGTAAATATATATTACATATGTCTGCAATTGCCTCTCTGCAAAAGTGACTTACGCCGGCGTACTTGGAACGATAGAACGTTCGAGAGAGAAAACATCAAAGCGCCCTTTGTAAATCCGCTCAACGTTTCTTATTTCCATAGAACTGTTTCGCATAAATCCGCGGCCGCTAAATATGGATGAAAACACAGCGCAAGGACGCTGGTAGGTACACGATGAAATCACCGCTATAAATTGACACAACACACCTCGATTTCCGTATTCCCCCAAAATTTCCACCTGCATTTTCACATCGATGTTTGATGCGTTATACAATGAACTATTTTACGTCGTCTACTTTATATTTTACTTGAAAGTTTCTGTCTCAATATCTTACAGATCCGGGCGACTCGAGCATACACGATCGGTTTATGCAAATCGCGATCGATCAAAGAATGACATCGTCCTTACCGGTACTTTTAAACTCGCCGGTAGTTCGCCGTCATCGTCTTTGAACGTCGTCGCGTTTCGTCACGGCGTTGCGCGGCCAAGCGAACTGCAAGAATTATCATAACTCGACAGTCTTGAGAAACGGCAGTCTCTCCGGCGAGCGCCTCGCCATTTCGAGATTATTTACCCCAAAGGTCTGTAAAGTTTTCTAACAGCTGTTGCTGGGCGAGCCCGTCCCCTTCCACGATCTTATTTCGCCTTCACCTGCTGCTGCGCGCGAGCTAAAACAGATATCTTTCTTGCTCGCAGAAGTACTTGAAACTCTCAAGCGGCAGTTACCCGATGTGTTTCTGCACCGTCCGCGCTCGAATTCCGCCGGAAATTTCGCCGAATACTGAAAAGCCGTATTTCTTACGTGTGCACGCGTAATGAAGCGAGACCGAAATAAACGGACGTCCTGGAACCGCACAATGGTGACTATTCTTCTTCGGAATGATATATGACTGTACTAATAACGATAATAATTCTCGGCGTGCAATAATAGTATGATCATCAGTTTCTTCATACCGACTCGCATCAACAATATCTCTTCCGATGTATAGCTACCCTTCCCCTCTTCCTGTCTCTCTCTCTCTCTCTCTCTCTCTCTCTCTCTCTCTCTCTCTCTCTCTCTCTCTACGTGTAAAATAAAGAAAAAACAGAAAAGCCTGTAAGAGCCAATTGTTAATATTATCACACGCGTTGACCGATTTATTTTTTAAACGCAAACAGTCTCTCTTCCACGTCAAACCGACCGTTTGTCCCAATTATCAATTAATTACCCAAACCCTCAATTAATAATTATTAGTGCATTAGCGTGACGCATTATCCTCCCATATAAATTTATTCGCGCCAATAATTTGCGCTCGGCTCTCGTAGGCCTTTCTAAATTTTCCTTCGATTGTATATCTCGAAAGATCCAAAAATACTACTCTGAAAGAATGAAAAAAACATTTAACAGAAAATCCCGACGGGACAAGTTAAACGCGAGCTATCGCTTTACTTAACGTACCTCGTATTATTCCCACTTGCTCCTTTGAAATCTTTGTCTCAGCATCGAGGGACTGAATTTTCGAGAGAAAGCAAACGTCGAGCACAATGACTCTCTTTTCCCCCTCAATCGGTACAGAAAAAGCAGCGACGACATATTGCGAACGAGCAATACGACGAGTGCTATAATGACGTCACGCGGTGTTACATGACGGACGTGGGCTCGAGCGGCGAACGTCATCATTGCGCGAGAGATATTGCGGTAATAAACGCAGGGTGCACCTTCTTGGTACGATTGTACCAGACGAGATTAATTGCGACCATTCTATTTCCTCGGTAACATCGGCCGCGCAAGCGGTGGATACAATGGCCGTGCGTGATTCCGGGATCAAGTGGAATAAGGAAACGTAGGTCCGGCAGTCCGTCGCGACGCGACGCAGCGTTATTTCCCCGTCGTCCAATTAATGGCGGTATTTGTAGCTCGCACGCGACGCGACTTAACCGCCCGCGACAAAATAAGACTCCCGCGGGGATGGAAAAGACTTGTCACGGAGTCGCGGAAACCGCGTGCCATCGCGGGAGCTGTTCCTACCGACCCAGTCTCTCTCTCCCAACCGTTGGCATATCTCCCTCACCGCGAAACTACTCCATGGCCATTGTACTTCTTAAAACCCCGACAATAACGACGACTATCCGGCGACTCTTCGAGAAGTTTTATCGCGGAAGCGTATAATGCCCGACCGGAACGACCGTCCGCAACGGAATGCCACGTACGCTTTGTGTACATGCGGCTGCCGCGGATCTAGCGGCTAATGCTACGTTCCGCGATGATCTCGGGAGATTTTTGCAGCGCGCAAGAATGGAGAGAGATCCCCCCTCGAGATTTCCGTTCGCCCCGATACTGCGCGACGAAAGGAGAGATATCCTTCGCGCTAAGGACGGTCCCTTAGCTCGCCGATGCTCCTTTGAAATCTTTGTCTCGGCATCGAGGAATCGAATCTTCGAGAGAAAGCAAACGTCGAGCACAATATCATAAGATACATCGGCGAACTAATAATCGTGAGATTCGAAATGGAAAGAGTTTGACAGGCGGTTGTGTTCATTCGGTAATCACAGATATGTAATTGCTACATAAAGAGCACACCGGAAGGATTCGAGCAACATTCGCCAGTGCTGTAAAGCTATCTGGAAATCTTCTTTGTCCATAGCGACGGAACATTGTTAGGAGGTTGCGGAATTTATGTGTCGGTTAATTGGAATAAAGATACGAACAAGTTGCGATAGAAGCCCCGCTCGCTGTTGTATAGCTTTTCTGTGTTACAAGTGTACTCCAACTATCCTCGGTATCTTCCAGTCTAGCAGATTAAAGGGCGTAGATATTATCCAAAGCCCGGTAATTTCGCTACCCGTTTTCCTGCCCTCGCTCTTTGAACGAGACTCCGTGCCGCGCGCGTTATAGGCGATCCCGAATTTTGCGCGTGGTATAAATTTCTCGTGATTTCGTTCAAATCAAACGCGTTGACGTGTTAAATCAAACTCGTAGCAGGCGGGAGAGTCTTAGATACGAACCATAAGAGCGTCAACACAGAGGACTTATTGTTAGTACGAACGGGGACGGAAGAAGAATATCGAAGGAAATGCGCGTCGAAGCCGCGAACAAAGAGCGGCGGAGCGTGTACGCGAGGAGGAGAAAAATGTGAGGGTATAGTCGAGTGTACGGGGAATTCAGTAAAAAGAACACGGGAGAAAATGGTTTTACTCTCGTAACAACAGCGGAAAAGAGGGGCGGAGAAATGATTTACGTACAAGCAGCAACTACCGTCCATACGCGCGAA